CCACTCCTTAATTTACCCTGATCTCACGCCTATTTACGAGCTCATGCAACTCCAGAAAATCTATAAAGTAACACTCATTCTTCACAAGGGAGGACCCAAGCAAAGAGAAGAAGGGAAGAGAATCAGCTCCTCATCGACCACCGCCGGAGTTCTTCCCGCCGCCCAAACACGTTGGATTCTGCGGGATATTGGGAGAACGTCCGGAATTCTACCCAACTCTCCACGTGATGCTTAAATTCTTTCCAATTAACAACAGAGTTCCCTACTGACGCTGAAACTCCGCTCAAGTGATGCCGGAGTTCTCCTCGTCCCCAACAGACATCAGACTCCTACTCGACGCCGAACCTTCAATTCTCGCCAAGTTTCTACCGACACCGGACTTCTTACTGGTTATCGGACTTTCGCGGACGTTATTTCGAAGATGGATTTCTTCCCAATTGTTAGACTTTCTCCCTGACGTCAATCCTTCTGACCTTCATCGTGAGACACCGTCCTTTCTGACCTCCGTCGCCCGCCGATTACGCGTCCTTCTAACTTGTTTGCCCGCCGACTACAGTCCTCTGACCCCGTTGCCAGCCGACTACGGTCCTTCTGACTTACGTCGTCCGCCACAGCCCTTCCAACAAAAAATACGTCAACAGTACTCTTTGTATTCCCAACATTAATATACTTCATATAATAACATCAAACCCATGCCTTTCTCAAAGGAAGGTCCTCATTTGTAATCGACTAAAATACTAGTGGATCATTCAAACTGCTAGACCCAGTGTTTTTTCCCCTTTTTCAGGGTGTTTTTCACGTAAAAATCATGTGTTATTTTCATCTTCTGTTTTTGTGCTGATATTCGTGCAACGCTAAACGAATACTTTCTAACTTACCCTGCGTATATTCTAGCCCGCGCAACAAGTTCTTTCTACAAATCTAAGTTTATTTGGATTTTGGAGATGATACATTTTAAAAATTATTTGCCATAATAGCTCTAAATCTAAGCCAAACCCTACCTATAAATTATTTCTTATATTTTGGATTTTAAAATAAATAAAAAAAGGGTTTAAGTAGATATTCATACTTATATTTTTTTAATTAGATATTCATACTTGATTTTACTCATGTTCAAACAACAACAACAACAATAATAATAATAATTAAATAATAATAATTAATAAATAATTATTATTAATTATTATTATTATTATTATTATTATTATTATTATTCAACTAATTAAGGCAAACTTAAATGATGTAAATATATATTTATTAATTTAATCATATTAATTTGGTTCAGTAAATTTAATTCATTATTCAAAATAATTATTAATTCATTTTTAATTAAATTAATTATTTTAATTATATTTTAAATAAAATTAAGTAGGAATCTAACTGAACTTTGAGAAAATCTTACTTGAAGCCCAAAGTATTAGCTCCTCCCAATTACTGTGTTACACACGATATACTTCACAAATGATATAAAGAAACGTGTATTATCATTTAGGATAGTTTTTTCACTTCTTTTCTACACAAATTTTAATCCAATAAATTTTATGCTAAAAATTTACTTAAAAAAACAGTAAAAAAGATGTCCCAAACAGAGCCCTGCATTGGGTACCCATACCCACACCCACCCATGTATCCACCCATACCCAATGGGCATGGGTGGGTATGGGTACGCCCATAGCCTCGTGGGTGGGTACTCAACATCAGAGGAGAACAAATTTACATTACTAATCATCATATACATACAGTATATTATAATAATCCTTAGTACACAGTGCACAACATTGAACCGCGTCACGACCATGATAAATTTTGATATGTGGCTTGAAAGTTTGCAGTCAGAGAAAAAATGGCAAAAAAACTTCAAGACCATTATTCTAATGGCAGCTGCCATTCAATAAGCTTAGAAAGTCGGCGTGTGCGTGTGTATGACATTCGGAAAGTCACCTGTAGTGAGTGTGGGTGTGCAAAGTAGGCTTTGATCGCCGCCAATGTTCGCTTTGATCGCCACCTATGCTCCGCCGAGCTACCATCCAAGAAAATTTTGGACTGCACAAGAGAACCAGGCTTTGATCGTGGCCACGCTATGCTCCCCGAGCTACCAATCCAGATGAATGCTTGGACCGGCACAGAGAGTAAGGCTTTGATCCCGCTGACAATCTCTGAGCTATCAATCCAAGGGAAGGACTTGGAATGACAACAAGAGATTGTGATTTCCTTCACCTTCTAAAGATAGTATTTATAGGTAAATGTGGAGTAGATGAAAGTTTTTCTAAAAATTTCTAAAATTAAAAAAAAATATTAATTAATACAATTTAATTCTAAGAGACAAAAATTAATTCTTTCATAAAAGAGGGGAGAATTTGAAAAGATATTCTAGATTTTCTTTAAACAAAAAAATTTCGAATTTTTAAAATTTTTCGGATTTTAAAACCCTTAATTATTTCCAATAAAAAATTATTCAGAAAAAAGTGGAAAATAATAATAATAACAATCCAAGACTCTGTGCCTTCGTGGCATGCATTCTCCGCAAACCGTGCTATTGTTCATATTATGCATTCATTTAAGTATTAATTATCTTTTTCAATACTCACAAAAAATTTATCATAAAATTTTCACTGTACTTGCTAAAAGGTCACATTGTTCGATAATTCATGTATTTGTGCTGCTCACAAGAATTTTCTGTGAAAATATATCATAAAATATGATAATATGATTTTATTTGCGTGAAAAATAAATCATTATTTGAAGAGAATTTGAAGATGTTTTTAGAATAGATAATTTGTTACAATAGAATGATAGGATGGCTTTAAAACTCTTATATATTATGATTAATGATTTATATAAACATAATACCAGTTATGTCATGCTTATAGATCTAATAGTCCAATCAACAACATGAAGGATGAAATAAGCAATTATTCCAAGTGATTGCATACAAAACTTTTAAAAATAAAATTATATAAAAAGTACAAATTTAATAATTTGAGCTACTCGGGATCAAGTTATTCAAGAGTTTTAAATAACGTAAAAAATTTTTAAGGGTATATGCATATTTTCGGACTTCTAGGAATTACGTCCGAAAATAGGGGGCAATTGATATATCAGTAAAAAATTATCTTGATCTCGCACGAATCTCTGAGCAAAATTGAGTATGAGCTTCAAAATTAAATCAAAGATCATCCAAACTTCAATTTTCAACAAACTTATAATCGAACTGAACGTCTCGAGAAGACGAGCCCAACGACACCAAATTCGACTTGAATCCGAGCCCAAATGAGACCAAATCAAGTCCAAAGCGCATTCTAAATTCAAACCGCAATTTGGAGTTATCAAACGGTTTCGAATTGAACAGCTTATAGTCAAATCGACGGCCTCGACGAGATGAATCCAACGAGCCTAAGATCATTTAATTCTGAATCATAAGCGTCCAAATGACCATTAAACGGTCTACAATCAAAGAATCAAATATTCACCGTCCATTCAAACCATCCTAACTTATGACCTTCATCCTCCCATATTTACAAGCAATGCCACTCTCAAAAAACTAAATAGCCCCATTTCTTCACCATGAGAGGGGGGGAGAGGGGAAAGGAAGAGAGGAATTTGGAGCACTCTTAGCCACTACCACCGCCGAGGTTCATGCCGACCACCGCCGAGGTTCCTGCCGACCAGCGCCGGGTTTCCTGCCGACCACCGCCGAGGTTCATGCCGACCACCGCCGAGGTTCATGCCGACAACCGCCGGAGTTCCTGCCGACCATCGACGGACTTCCAACAGTTCGTCGACCGCAGCCGGACTTCCTCCAGTTCGCCTACCACCGCTGGACTTTTGCCAGTCCCCCGACCACTGATGGACTTCCACCAGTTCGCCGACCGCCGCCAGACTTCCTCCAGTTCGCCTACCACCGACGGACTTCTGCCAGTTCGTCGACCGTAGCCGGACATATACCAGTTTGCCGACCGCCGCCAGACTTTCGTCCGTCTGCCGACCGCCGTCGGACTTCAACCAGTCCGCCAACCATCGTCAGACTTCTTCTCGTCCACTGATCATCACTGGATTTCTTCCTGACTTTATTTGGAGTTCATTTCGATCACCGATAGACATCGCCAATCCACCGAACACCGCAGGACTTCCGCCAGTCCGCAACCTACAGTCCTCCAAACCACTATCATCTGACTACGTTCATCCCGACCTCCGTCGCATGCCGACTACAATCTTTCAGACCTTCGTCGTCCGCCTATAACGGTCATTCTGACCTAATCGTATGCTGACAACGGTCCTTCTGACCTCCGTCATCTATCGACTACAGTCCTTCAGACATCTGCTACTTGCCGACTACACTCTCCATCGACTACAGTCCTCCTGAATTTCATCGCTCGCCGACTACGGTCCTCCCGACCTTCATCGCTCGCCGACTACGGTCCTTCTGACCTCCGTCGCCCGCCAACTACGATCCTTCCAACCTATATCGTCATACAACGATCTTTCAGACTTCTATCGCCCGTCGACTACGGTTCTTCCGACCTCCGTCACCCTCCTACTATGGTTCTTCCGACCTACATCGCTCACTGATTATGATTCTGCCGCCCCAAACAAACATGTCAACACTGATTCTTCCAACTCCTACTATACAATACACTCTATATGATGTATATTTGTTACTTTGATCCAAGACCTTCCTCCAAAGGAAGGGCCTCATTTGTAATCAATTGCAAGCACTAGTGGATTCATTCAAACTGGGCCACACCCCGTGGTTCAACGTAAAAACTATGGTGTCTCTTATGAACGCTATATCCTCTCTTTCATCTGTTTGTGTGCTGGATCTTCGTACAAAGCTATGACAATAAATTTTATATTTCTCTACCGTCGCGAATTTTCCAGGACGCAACAGTAATAATTTTAAAATTAATGAAATATAAAATATTCATATTTAATATTAATATAAAAATAAATTTAATAAATTTTAAGTCATCTTATTCTGTTGCACAAATGGTGTCAGCCGACATAATTTTTTCCAGATTTCGGTCAAATCGGGACCGGTCGACGATCGAAAGCGATTATTGGATTGGGTGGAAAAGCGCACAAGAAACACATTTGCTACCGTATATTCCATAGCTGCGGAGTGCGGTGGCTGGGTGGCGGATTTGGGCAGTCGCCATCAACGCATCCTCCACTTCCAGCCATCCAAATCTCCAAAGCTGAAACTTGGACACCATTTCTGGTTAGGGTTTTCCTTTCCAATGACTCATTTCCACCTCCTCCTCCTCCTCCTATCCGCCTTAATCACGGTCTCTTTTTCCCAGAAAATCCTGCGTATCTTCCCAGGCGACACCCAGATCACAAACGGCAATAGGGAGTGGATCAACAATGACCTCTTCTGCGATAGCTGGAGACTCTCTGTGGAGACCAACAACGCCGGCTACTGGGCGACGATTCCAGCTCGATGCCGCGGATTCGTGGAAGCCTACATGAAGGGCGACCACTACGTTTCGGATTCCGAGGTGGTCGCCGTCGAGGCGATTTACTTTGCGAGGGATTTTGATATTGCCGGCAACGGGAAGGATGCGTGGATCTTTGATGTTGACGAGACTCTTCTTTCTAATCTGCCCTACTATATAGAAGTCGATTTTGGGTATGGGTTGTGAACTATCTGCTCTTCAGTTTAGATATGTTGGCTCAATTTTATATCATATCTTGCAGGGCATGATTTTTTTTAGTTTTATTTGATTTTGATTTAAATTAAAAGTCGGTGAAAATTTATTTATATGCCCCCATAATATCGAAAATTTATTTATATGCTCCCATATCACCTAGTTATATATATATTTTTTGTGTAATATGACCAAAAATTGTTAAGGGTGTTCTGTTTTTCTTTGGGCAATTACTCTTGAGCTTCACCTGGTAAAGAACCTCCACAACATGTATTTAAAAATATTTCTTCTAAACTTAAAACTAGGTGACACGGGCTTTTGAAACTATTAACACAAACATCTAAAAAAAAATAAAACATACTCAAAACATGCTTTACAATCAAGTTGGATATCAACAATTATTTTTGGACTTTTCCTATTTAGCATAATCATATATAATAGTAATCTAAGATGCACACACATGAACACGATGATACAGGCATGGCATGATATAGATTTGAGACATGCCAATTATTGTTAATATAGGACACATATATGGGTTGGATACGACAATATAATTTTTATATCTTAAAAAAAGTGCATTGAAATTAAATAAATAGAATATTAAGAATAATAAGAAAATAATGTCATTTAACTCTAATATTAATTTTGAAAATCTAAATGGTTGATAAATAGTTGTCTAGCTCATAATGTCAAAAAGTAAGCCTGAATTGTCTAGTAAAATATAAAAATTCAATATACAACAGTCAACTATTCAATAAAAGGAATAATGAGATTGGCTTCTTTATTATGTATTTGTCTTTGACCTTCATTATTATTATCATTAAATAATATTTCTTCCAATTATGGCTCCTCAGGAGAAAGATTTGTAATATCCAAAATTTTCATATCATCGAGAGACCAAAACCATCTTTTGTTACATTATGTTATCATCTCAGTATTATCTTCCATAAAATTCGAGGTATTTCTTCATATAAAACTAAGATTTATATGCATCTAAAGTAAAGAATCAGTCTATTGTAGAGTGATTTTATTCTTCTTCATCTGGAAAACAATATTTTACACATGGCTTTTCATATTTAAAATTTCTAAATCTTTTTGAGGGAAAACATATTGAGGATCCTATTGAAGTCATTTTTTACTTAAATGTATTCTAAGAATGTAAATAAAATAAAATTAGATAATTATTATTTTACAAAATGAAAATCCATTATAATGAATAAATTGAAATTTATTTTGAAGTTAAAGAAAGGGCCAAACCATATATAGGCGTGTTATTTTTTATCCACATTCTCCAAAGTTGCATGAAGAACAAAAAAAAAAAAGAATCTTTATAAATTTTCTTTTATTTTAAAATATTATTTCATTCATTTAAGATACCATTGAATCTTCATCAATTATCTCTATACTTTTACTTTGACCCTGTTCCCTTTCATCTGGTGTTTGTCTATTTGACACATGAACTGTCGGCTGAGGAGATTCATCCCGAGCTCGTTGTGACATCGACATTTGCATTTGCATCATTGCCATTTTCATCATCATCTCTTTTATTTTATTTTCTAACTTATTAATGTGCTCATTCTTATTTCTAAGCTGACTTGCCAAATTTGGGGCTGAATCTGCAACAATGGTTTCTCCATTTTTTTTCTTTGTGCAGCCTATCAAAATTACTATTTTTCAATGAAGATTTTTAGTCTCCTCATAAAAATGCTTCCACTAGGAATATATTATTCATTAGAATATACCAATAGATCATCCTGCTCATGATCAAACTCTTGAATCATGTTCTCCTTTTTATGCTTAAGGATATCCTTGATCTCAACGGCATTCTCAATGGATCTGTCCTCAACTATTTTAGGATCGATGGGAAAAGATTCTATATCCTCTTAAAATCATTTCTAGTTCTTTCCCATTCAATCTCTCTTTTGATCATTTATATTTTTAGTTCCAAATGTTTTCATGGCACTCTTCCAGAATTTTATTAGTAAATGGATCTTTATCCATTCACTCTTCTTCTCTTTTATTCTCCTTGGTTTTTTCCTTTTTATGATTATCATCTCCCTTTTTATTTTCAGCTTCTTTCTTCTTCTTGAGTTTCACTTCCTCATCCTTCTCATTTTCTATTCATTTTTCCTTTCTGATTACTTATGGACTATTAATCACGAGAGTGGCACCCATGGTGGGTTGTTGAACCTCCTTCTCAACAGATGATGCAGTGTTATGCATAAATGAGCGTAACCTAGCATTATTTAGCAAAGCGGATGGATCATAACTCTTAATCGGAGGTCTATTTACTGTTCTAGGAGAATATTCATTTCTTATTCAACTGACTTTGCAAGGTAGATATTCTTTTTGAGGAGATATAGATCTCTTTAATTTTCTAGCTATGATTTTTTTGATATATTCTGAACTGTTCTCATTAATCACTCTGACTGCAGTATGAGATTCTATTGGGTGCTTCACTCGATGCATGGCTGACTCAACTTTCTGATGTTGACTCGGGGTAGACCCCATCAAAACTCTCTCTCCTGATCTAGAACAAGGTCGTCTTGGGACCTTGTGATACCCATCTACTACAGCATATATGACAAGTTCTTTGGCATACCTTTTAATGACCCTGAGAATATGTGGGATCAATACTTTTTTCTCATATTCTTTTTCTTTTGGACTTCTTTAACCAATCTCTTAGCTATCATTTCTTTCACGTGGTTGATATATTCCTCTTTAGTTTCTCCTGATTGAACGGCACCAGGATGAATTATGTTCCTCAAAACTTTACTTCGTTGTATCATTTTATCATCGTAAGTCCTCCCCACACAATAGTCAAAAGGGTGTAGCAGATATTCTGTTATCTTGCTAACATCCTCCTCCCCCTTGGCAACAAAATATGATGGAATTGACTCCCACCAAGGAATGGAGATGTAGGAGGAACAGTGAATTCTCTATCAGCTCAAATTCGACTTGTTTTAGAGCCTCCAACTCTGCAATATTTCTTTCCCTGACATTCTTATTTCTAATTCTCCTATTTTGGTTCCTTCTCTGTTTTCTTGTTTATGGAAAGAAGGGCAGAGGTTGATCCGACTTCAAAAATTGCAAAATTTCTTGATTCATAGACTACTACGAATTTCAGCTTCTTGTCTCCTCTAGTGGGAGATGTAGTGGGAACAGAAGCAACATTTGACCCTTTTTTGTGAGTAGAGGAGCTAGATATTGGCCTTTTAAGCGATTTCTACTAGAGGACCATCTTTTGTGGCATTAACATTTAGATCAATTACCTTGACCACTGCTTGGCTTGTGATTTTGGAGAAGGGTAGCATCTCCTATCATGTGATTTGAAGTACCAATGTCGACTATCCATGTCCTTATTTCCCCTATGTTAGTAGTGAATGCAGTATGCAAATTTGTTTGAAGAACCAAACTTGTCCCAGTAATACTACTACTGCCAACTTGACTAAGTAGTTTCTGCTGCAAATTTATCTGTTTTTTGCTAAATGGGCTAGGGTCAAGAACAAGAGCACTCTCAGAGTTGGAAGTCACATATGCTTTACTGTCTCTATCAAACCGTGGCTTTGGTTTCCAATCAACCAGTTTGCCATGGAGCTTCTAACAAGTCTCCTTGTAACGACTTGATTTCTTACAGTAATCACACCAAGGCCTTTCCCATTTTTTATGTTCTTTTACCATTATTGTTAGTTAATCGTACAACAAGGGCAGATGCATCCAACATTGATTTGGTTTGTTCCTTAGATCTCATCATTATTTTTTTTCTCTTTTTTTTTCACGCCTAAGACTGTGTGGTGGTTTATTGCCCATGGTTCGACCTCGAACATCATCCAACTCTCTGTTAAGTATTAAGAAAAGCTTGAAGAGTCTTTTTTGTTCCATAATATGCTTGTACATTACTGTATCTTCTGGACATGTCTATGAGTGACTTTCAAATAAGTCAACTTGTTGCCAATAATGTAATGCTGAGTAACAGATTGCTCTCCTTGGCAAAAGCATGAAGTACTAATTTCTTTGAAACAACTCTGAAGTATTTTCAGAGATGGAGTAAGTCTCTTTGGATTTATCCCATATTTCTTTTGTAATCCCAAATAGTAAGAAAATTTTACTTATATTATTGTTCATGGAATTGATAAGCCATGACATGATCATACTATTTTCAATCTTCATTTTGAAATTGGGATCTATAATCTCTGGCATGGCTATTGCTCCGATGAGATACTCATCCTTTCCCTTATCATAAATGAACAACAATACAGATTATGACCACTACAAATAATTATATCCATTTAATTTGTGTCATATGATGAAAATAAGAGAAAAATCACTGCCTCCAAGGTTTGGAATTTCTAAACTGCTTCCCAATTTTGATGTTGTGATGCCAAATGTTTGTAATGAGGCCATTTCATATTATGAAGAACCAGATGAGGAAGAACGAATATGGTTGTTTTAAGTATATAAGAAGGTCAGGACAAATACTAACCAATGAAAATCAGCTTGATAAATATAGAAGAGACAGTCATAAATAATCTGCTAAAGAGAGGTGGCCTGAAGGGATTAGGGTTTAGAGAACTAGCTTTGGTACCATGAATAATTTCCTAATTCATTATTCTTCTTGTTGAAAACGGTACTACATCCACACACAAATATATGTCCTAATTAGGAAACAAAATCATAGGAGAAGATCACAATCAATCTCACATTTTATTCCTAAAAATATTTTCCTAAAATAAATTTCCTAACTTTTACTTTCAATTAACTATAAGGATTTGCTCTTATAACCCAGTTTAAATAAATCCTACTTTATTTAGCTCCTAAATAAAGTAGAGGAAGAATCTTTTGGGAACCGCAAACCAAAAGTTCAAAAAAAAAAAAAAAATCTTAATTCTCATATTTGAACCTGTAACAAAGTGATATTTACATCCCCTGGGCTAGAATGTCATGTTCTAGGATGTTTTTATTATGAAGATAAAGAATTTATCCTAGTTATTGTGATCAAATATATAATTAAATGATATTTTGATCTCTTGGGATTGTATGTTATTCCTTATAATAATTTGATTACAATAATTAAGAGGAAATTTGTATTTGAATCTATTGAGGAATAAATAATAATATTTCTATCTTCCTAGATAATATATTTATAGCAATGACGTATTTGATTACAAAAATAGAAATTCAACATTATGTTAGGCTTATATTTTTCTAACAAACTTATGCATTTCTTAAATGCATATATAAGTTTTACATTGTATTAAAAACTCTCAAAATTCATAATTTCTTCTAGCAAACATCCCTTCAGCAGGTAGTGTGATAGTTTTGTCAGTTTTAAGAGGATGTGAATTTTTACTTTTATGGTTATAACATATTTTAAAAAGTGAACCAAGAAGTATTACCTAACTGAAGCTCTAGTTGTAATAAACACATGGTATTTGATGGGGTCATCAACTATATAATTCTAATAAGATTTTGACTTCTACAAAATTTTTACCAATGTTCATTCAGAACCTATAAATTCTGTGTGAAATTCCCTAGTTTCATCCGAAACTGTCAAAACCAGGTGAAGCCAATCCAAAACCACTAAAAACCATGTTTTGATCCTATGTAGAGCTAATTTGATTCAATTCAATCCAATTTCAATTCAAGTTAGATTCTACTCAGGGATGACGCGTTGTTCAGCTGGTTAGTTTGAGTTTTTTATCGTTCCAAGCCAAAAAAACTATCAGCTATCTTTCTGCCCTTCTACACAGAAGTCTCCAATTTTATCATTTCTTTTTGCTTGTGATTTCATTTATTTATTTATTATTATTATTATTTGACCTTGCATAGATCAGAGCCTTTCAATGAAACTTCCTTTGATGAGTGGGTGGAATTGGCAAGGGCGCCAGCTTTACCAGCCAGCTTGAAACTGTACAATGAACTCCAACGGCTTGGATTTTCTTTGGTGCTGCTTACAGGGCGCTCTGAAACTCAGCGGAATTCCACTGAGAAGAATCTATTATTTGCAGGGTACAAAAATTGGGAAAGGCTCATCTTAAGGTACTCTAACAGCTTGCTCTATCTATAATGTGCTTGGTAATATATTTCAAATTATAGCTAATGAAACTATTTCTAGCTTTTACAGAAAAAACATCTTGCTTCTTTCATCTAATAAAAGGATGTCTGCGCTGAATTCATGATATGCATCCAGTTTATTGATGATCCATATTAGTTTACTAACGGACTCATGTTGAAATGTTCAAACTATAAAACTGGGAAGTCAAAAAAACTGGTTGACAGTCCTTATAACTATGTTGATTTATTGCTTTCAAGGTGAAAGGTTTAATGATTTCCAATAATTCGTACACATCTTAGTCCTCATTAATTATTAGTTGTTTTTTTTTCCTTTTATTTCCTCCATAAGTTTCTTATATTTGGAATAAACAAGACATGCAAAGTTAGATAGACCAATAACAAAATTATTTCTCAATATTTACTTGCACTTTTATGTGAATTTCAAATCAGTCGGATGTAAAGTGTAAACTCAAGGCAAGAGATTGCGATTTGTTAACCGAAACAGCTTTCTAAAGAACATTTGAGTGATTGAAAATACATCAATTAGGCTAGGGGTATACAAAGTTATCTGAAGAATCGAACAAACCAAATTTGGATAGTTCTCATAAGTTTCCAGGAACATCTGAGTTGTAATAGAATCCACCATAAATTGCCGAGCAAACTAGTACCTTGTAATAGTAGGATTGCTATCTTGAAGGCTGTTTTTTTTTTTTTTTTTCTATACTTTTTTTTTTTTTTTTTTTGAAGGAAAATGAAGAAAAATTAAATGGAAAATTCATGCTATTTTTTGTTCTTGATAATAATTCTGCAGCTAGAGATATCAAATTTCAACCCGTTTACGTTTTCCATTGAAACATGATATCTGAACATGCCGTAGATTTGGAATTTGTTTCTCTTACCCTGATGGATCTTTGTCTGAACGTTTTGCATGTTATTGTTTTTAGCAGTTTTGATGACTCTTTTGAGCTTAGTTACTATTTGATTGCTGTGATCTTTTTAATCGGTTGATGAGTTTTATTCAGCTTCATTAAGTGAGGTTCTAAACTCTGAACCTCAGATTATTTAGGCTCTCAAGTGTTTAGAAGGTGAATTTTGAAACTGAATTGAAGTAGTTGTTTCGTAGAAGAATTTATAGTAATTTAACTCTTTCAATTGCTTTTACACATTTAATATAAAAATTTTATTTTTAGTAATTTAATAATATAGAATTTATAGTAGAGTAAGAGTAAGTTAAGCTCATTATGTTTTAAATAAATATAAAAATTGTATTTTTTAGTACATAGAAGTTAGTTTACATAAAACAAGCATAGACAACCGAAACCACATCAATAAAACTGCGACAATTTAGTGCCTAGCATTTTGAAACATTTTCCTCAAAGCAAGCTTTCCCTTAACTAGGACACTAGCTCACACAAATCAAGAAGATTATTTCTAGAATAATCTAATTCTTAGAATATATTAGCATTTATTTCGATTTTATTGCATTTAATATGTAGACTAGCCTCATTTTATTAAATTTGATGATATGATTTTTTAGAAGTTCTTTAGATTTCAATTTAAATTATTTGATTGTATCTTGTAAATCTTATCTCTATAAATAAGAGTTAAATGGATAGTATTTTGATCATTTGTTGAATAAATGGAATTTATAAAATCACCTTCTCTCTTCCCTCCACTTTTCTTCTCTCTTTTTCTCAAACTCTCCCCTCCTTTGATTTTAATCTCTATATCTCTTAATATCTCCTACCAAAAGCATCCCGAAACCTCCCCCCTCTTGGTTTTGGTAGGCATCCCGAAACCTCCCCCTCTTGGTTTTCTTCTTTCTTCGAATTGCTACGGCCATTATTTCATTTTTCAACTTGTGCTACAATAATGCTATGATAAAACTACAACAACATCAAGCCTTTATCCCAGTATGTACATGAATCCATTTTCTCCATTGTGTCATGTTTAAAGTCAAATTCTCATTTAAATCTAATAATGAAAGGTCATTTTTAATATTTTTTAATCAAGTCTTTTTAGGTCTACCTCTGCCTTTCTTAACACAAGTCAAATCTAATACATATACTTTCCTAACCAGGTCATCGGAAGGTCGTCGTTTTATGTGACCAAACCATCTAAGGAGACTCTCTCTAATCTTATCTTCCACTGGAGCTACTCCAAATTTTTTCAGATATATGCTCATTTCGTATCCGGTCTCTTAAGAGTAAAGCCACTCATCCACCCGAGCATCCTCACCTCTGCAACACTTGACTTAATATTATGCTTATCTTTTAATGAACAACATTCCATCCCATAAAGCATTGCAGGTCTTACTATCATCTTAAAGAATTTTTCCTTAAGTTTGAGGGGGATTTTTCTATCACACAATATGCCCAATACATTCCTCCACTTCAACCATCCAACTTGAATTCTACTAATAATGACCACATCTATTTCACCATCACTTTGAACAATAGATCCAAAATATTTAAAACATGTACTCTTATTAATGACTTGATCGCCCAAAGTCTCAATCCCCCACTAGATCTATTATTACTAAAATTACATGCCATATATTTAGTTTTAGATCAACTCAAATGAAAGTCTTTAAACTTTAAGGTTGACCTCCATAATTCAAGTTTGTCTTCAACTCCCTAATGAGGATATCGACAGACGTTATCGACGAGTATATCAGCGCAGGAGTCGTAGATCGATGGCTACGATCCACAGTCTTTATTTCTGATGCTTAGTCTTTATTTTGATGATTTTATGTATTAATTGTTATTTACGGTTGTACCCTTTCTTTTGAGTCTTCTTGAGTTGTAGCCCCAAGGGCATATGAGTCATTGTCTTTTTATTTCTTTAGGCCTATATATTGTGACCTCCTCTATTGTATTAGCTGATGAATTATGAATGAAATGTCATACTTCTTTGCTTGATCTCTAAGTGCGTTTTTGAGAGGAGAAACTCTAGGTTGGTAAAAGCAATACCCGTCAACCTTTAGAGGATTCCAAGGTTCGCGGTTCTACAATATCTTTTTTTTTCAACCCCTCTCCTAACCCATCCACCCGCTGGCCTAACCATTCTCACCCCCCCCTTTCTTTTGCTCCTTCCAAAGCTTAAATCCCTACCCAACCCATCGTCCCATCCCTTGGCCGCCCAAGCCGCCGGCCACCAGCCCAGCCTTCCGACCTTCACACCCCTCTCCCCCTCTACATGCTCAACCTAATTTGAATTTCGAATTTCAAATTTTCCCATAATTACTTTCCTAAAATACCTCGTTGCTATTTAGGAAAGAATCATTGTTGGCATTCAATCTATTTTGAATTTTAAAAACCTTCATAGTGAGTTAAAACCCCATTAGGAAGTTATTTCAATTTAAATCAAATCTGAAATTAAAATCAGATTTGATTTCAATCACATTAATTCCATTGGGGACTACATACAATGAATCTAGACATGCTCTCCCCTTCTCCTATGGCCGGCCCTCCCTCCACTTTAATTTCTCTTTCCAATTAAACCCAAATCCCCACTTAATACCCCCTTAATTCCCTCCTACAGCTGCCGCCCATAGCCTTACTTTGGAGTTAATTTGAATTCAAATTAATCTTCCTCTGCCCTTAATAAAATCTGAAATAAAATTCAGGATTTTCTAATTTCTGCACTTATCCCACTAAACCCAAAACAACCCACCTCAGCCATAGCCCTAGCCGAACCCTCCCTCCTCCTCTCCACCCGTCTCCCTCCCCCTCTCTTCCTCCTCTCGGCTGCCCTCCCAATTGGCGGCTCCTCCACAGCAAACCACCACGATACGCCGATGTTCTTGCATGGTAGATACGGAAGTTGATCACGGGTTTGCTTACAACGCCCAAGGAGAAATCGACATCCTCTGTTCTCCTTTCTACGAGCCAGATTGGGAGTACGACGACTCGGTGGAATGCTACGTCAACCACATCGTTTACTGCCTCGCCGAGATGATCGAACTTCAACGACCCAGAACACCTTCTCTCCTCATCGAAAGATCCTCGCATCCTCCACCGCCGACTACCTTTCCAACAACAAAGTTCTTCGGTTCCCTCTTCCTAGTGGTGATCTCAAGTCTAGTGTGGAGTATCCTCATCCACTAAGCTTAAGAGTAGTTGAGTGAGAAACCCCTCAAGGTGAATCTCTCATTATTAAATTTCGGATCTCTATTATAAGCTATTAACTTTACTATTGCCTTTGTACTTGATTAAGAGCGTTTTGGTTAATTTTCATGTACTTCTTTGTCTAAGCAAGTGGAAAACTACAAATTCATAAAATCTTTCTTTGATTTGATGCATACTTTTATATTGGTTAACTTTTAACAATTTCTTTTTTATAATCTCTCGCTAACTCCTTGCATGCATCACATCACTCCCTCTCTAGACATATCAACAAGAAGAATATCATCAGCAAAAAGCATACATCAGGGTACAACCTCTTTCAAATGTATAGTAAGAATATCCATGACTAAAGCAAACAAATATGGGTTTAATGCTAATCCTTGATGTAATCCAACTGAAATAGGTATATATTTGATCCAACCACCTTATGTTTGAACACAAGTAATAGCTCATGCATACATATCCTTAATGACTTAAATATAAGCATTATTAACCCCATTCTTTTTTAGAACTCTCTATAGCACTTCTCTTGAACTTTTATCATATGCTTTCTCTAAATCAATAAATATCATATGTAGATCCTCCTTATTCTCTCTATACTTTTCCATCAAACCTCTCAATAAATCTATAGCTTCCATAGTAGACCTACCCGACATGAATCCAAATTAATTTTGAGAAACATTAGTATCATGCTGCAACCTATGCTCCATAACTCTTTCCTATAGTTTAAAGTATGACACATTAACTTAATTCCTCTATAATTTGCAAAATTTTGTGCATCACCTTTATTCTTAAAAATATGAATCAACATACTTATTCTCCACTCTACGGGCATCCTTTTAGTCTTCAAAATAATTATAAAATCTTTAGTAAGCCAAGAAATTCCTTCATCTCATAAGCATTTCCACGCCTCTATTGGAATATCATCAAGTCCAACAACTTTTCCACACCATTTTCTTTAAAGCCTCTTTAATTTCGATTTTACTAATACAATGATAAAAACAAAAATCTTTATTTTCATTTAGGGTACTAAGGTCATTAAAGTCAATCATATTCTTACAATCTTCATTGAAATGTTTAGTAAAATATCTCATCCACCTTTGTTGAATGTTCTTTTCTAATAAAAGCATTTTTTTTATCTTCATCCTTAGTATACTTCACTTGAACTAAATACGTACTACTTCTATCTTTTTGTTTAGCTAACTTATACATATATCTTTCGTCCACCTTAATATCCAATCTATTATATAAACCATTAAAACCTAAAATATTTGCATCACATATCGCTTTCTTAGATTCTTTATGGGCCACGTTATATATTCTTCAATTATTAGAATTTTTTACATCTAAACTAATGTTTATAACAAATCTTTTTATTTTTAATTTTTTCTTGCACATTTTGATTCAACCACTGATTGTTTTTACTATTATGAGTTTTTTTCTTTGATACTTGAAGCACATCTTTTATAACTTTTTTAATATCACTAGTTACATTTTTCCACATAGCATTAGCTTCCTCCTGTACAAACAATTTTTTAATCAAATCTGCTCTTAATACCCATCTGTTCTACTGAAACAGGGAAGCCTCTGATATTGGCAAATCTGCACTGATATATAAATCAGAGAAGAGAGCTCAATTGGAAGCTGAAGGCTTCGTGATTCATGGCAGCTCTGGTGACCAATGGAGCGACTTATATGGACCACCAATGGCCACAAGATCATTCAAGCTCCCAAACCCAATGTATTTTATCAAATAACCTGTATATCTGTAATTATTCTTTGACCTGTGCAAATTTGTAGGTCAAATGTGTGGCAAGGCCAATTAATCAAGTGCCGAGGTAAGAACTGGAAACATCCTTATGCTTTTCTTGATGTAGCTGCACAATTTGATCTCCTTGAACTTTAATTTATTTCACTCAGAATATTCTGGGGGAAATATAGTTCTATTTAAAATAATTTGCTTTAAAATAAATATATATATATGTCTTTATATATTTGTATATGTACGTATAGTTTTATAATTATAATGTTCATTATTTTTCTAATTTTATTGTGTTTTAATATGAAAATTTTTTCATTGGGTTTAAGTAAGTTTTTAGCCTTTAAAATTATAATATTTCATTTTCTTAGGAGTTCTCAATAACTCATTGCTTTCTTTTGTTCATTTATTACTTTTTAAAATAATTTTTAAAGTATAAAAATATCTAATTAAAAAAAAATATTTGTAATAATTTTTTTTAAAAAAATAATAATAAAAAAGTTATCCCAAATGAAATCTTATAGATAGAGACTAGGCTAAAAAATGAGGTGACAAGTATCGTGATCCGTATTTTAATATGGAAGTCAAATTGTAGCATTGTACTATGTCATGTTAAAGGCGAGGGTATTGGAGTGAAGTATTGCAAGAATAAGCTAGACATTGCATGCTCACTTTTTTTATGAATTATTATGTGTGGACATCAGACTAAAGAATCATTCGGTTTTGTCTCTGTGAAAGTAAAAGTATAGTGAGCTGCGATTTTATTGTTCATACTGCGTTTTTACTATTTACAAAGACAAAAAAAGATGATTTTTTCTGTCTGGTGTCCGCACAGAATAATTTCTCTATTTTTTAACCTATTGTTATTATTATTATTATTTTTATGGTGGTAGTTTAAGAGTCCTTGTAATCATCTCTTATGTGCTTGTTGTTTTCATCAATAAGCCCTTGTCCAATCTCTTACTCCTACATTCTAGCATGTTATTTTAGGACTAGCTCTCAATCCTCACAACCATCAAAGTATTTTTAAAGGTCTTCTACATTCTCTCAACAAACACTAGGGCTTCATTTGGGGCGGCTTTTTTAGTGCTTCTTAAAGCGGCTTTCTAGTAAAAAATTAAAAATTTTGTACTAAAAAGCTGCTTTAAGAAGCAGAAAGAAATCCGTCCCAAACGAAGCCTAGATTAACCACACATAGTATTGATCCGTTTGCTCCAACTATCCCTTAGACCCTTTGAAACTTCACTATCAACTCCATATCATACCTTCACACCTTAAAACTAAACAACCATAATCATCTCCCATTATTTCTCATCCATAACATTTCTCCTCAAAAATATTATCAATATTATCTTATTTAAAATAAAATATATTTTAATAAATTTAAAATATTAAATAAATATAAAAATTCAATTATTAAACATATAATAGTTTCAAGATAGATCTAAATCCTACATTTTAAAAATAAATAAATTTATTCTTTATTAAAATTTTACACAAAATAAATAAGTTTCAGAAATTTAATTTTATGAATTTTCAGTTACACCCAGCAAAATAACATATTTTTTAAAAAATCATCACTTCTTTAAAACATATTTTAATTTCTACTACCCACCAACCAAATTAGCCCTTTCATAAAATTGCAATTTCCAATAGCTCAAATTGCAATTATTCAATACACTTATCCATGAAATGGAGAACATGTCCAAAAAGTTAAATATTCATTTTTTCTTAGCTAAAACAATTAAAAAAATCATATAAATCACATCATTAAAAATAAATATTTTATGTATATAATTTACTATGATTGAAACTAAAATATTATATAAAAATATCAAAACTAAACTGGAAGATATTTAAGGTATATTTTATTTTTAATAAAAAAAATATTTTATTGCTATATAAAAAAAAATTAACGGATAGATATGTAAATACAAAAATAGTCACATTTATAATAAAACTTATGAGATCAACCCCCGACAATAAGCTAAATTACAATATTAGTCATCATTTTCACCCATCACTGGCCAGCCAGCTTTCCAGCCATGAAACAAAATCAGCAGTTTTGCAGCTCATCGCCATTAAAAGCTCTTCACCTACTCCTCCCACTCATGGAACCGAAACCCTAAAAAAGTACGGTAGCCCACTCATCCCGTCGCCGCCGGCACCACCGCAGCCAGCCGGCCTCATTCCCGGAACTCTGAGACAACTCAAACCCCCCGCTGACGTCCCGTCACACTCCGGCGCCGGCCGCTGCAAATCCCTCCCCGGAATACAATTTCCGGCCAAATCAAACCCTACATTCCTAAACAAAAGCCTCGTACAATCATCGCTCACTCCGGAGAAAAAATTATACGACACCGTTAAATTTAGTAAATTCCTCAAATCACAAACCACCTCCGGCAAGTCTCCGCTCAGCTTATTATGCGCAATGTTGAGCACTTCGATTCCGTCGAGACATGAAATCGAATCCGGCAAATGCCCGGTAAGAGAATTGAAGCTCAAATCCAAAACCTGCATGCCTGTAACATATCCGACACCTTCCGGTATGCATCCGGTGAGCCTGTTGTTCGGTAAGAGAATCTCCTTTAAACCAGGTTCGGAGTACCCGAAACTCGCCGGGATGGATCCGGTGAGCTGGTTGTTGGCGAGGTTGATCGCGGAGGCTGAGGACGACCAGAGAGAATCTGGGATCTCGCCCTGGAACTGGTTGTTGTTGAGGAAAATGGCGTCGAGATTAGGGTTTTGGAAGAGCTCGTCGGGGATTTGACCGGAGAAGGAGTTGAATCGGAGGTCGAGGTAGATGAGATTAGGGATTTGGAGGGTGGAGGAAGGGAAAGGGCCAGAGAAGAGGTTGTTGCTAAGGTCGAGCTCGTAGAGGTATTCGAGGTTGGAGAGGGAGAGGGGAATGGAGCCACAGAAGCGATTGGAGTTGAGGTGGAGAGCGGAGAGGTGGGAGAGGAGGGAGAGGTCGGGGGTTAGGGTTCCGGCGAGGTTGGCGCGGTTTAAGTCGACGATGGCGACGACGAGAGAAGCGGAGGAGAGGGGTTCGGGTGGGTCGGAGCAGAAGATGCCTTTGTAAGAGCAGATGTTGGGGCCGCTCCAGGAGGAGAGAATGGCGTTGGGGTCATCAGAAATGGAGGATTTGAATGATTGGAGGGCAATGTACTCGACGTTGTCGGTGCTCGCAAATGAATGCATGTTATTATTTTGTAATGCAAAGTTCTATTTTATTTTTTTAATAATAATTTTAAAAATTCTTATGTCATATGAAGTGATTGATAGTGTAATGATTGCTATAGACAATTATTTCTAATTTAATTATAATTTTGTAATTTATTACTAATCATTTAAAAAAATGTTATTTTATTGCTAATTTGCTGGAGATGCTTTGAATGCAAGGGTGTAAATAGTGCCAACATGTTTTATTTGATTTGATTTATCAATAATTTTGTTTTTAAAATATTGGCCAACTATTTGTGTGTGACCAATTTAGGCTTTATTTGGAGACAAATTATTCTGTGCCATCACCTAATGATTCGGAGGCGAATCAAAAAGTGCAATGTCACCCGGTATTGAGCTGTACACTGTAGCGGTACACATAACAACAATAATGTGGTACGATCTCATTCGCCTCTGTACGTCACTCAGTGACCGCACATAATAATTTCTCTTATTCGGGAGTTGTTTTTCATTGTTATTTTTCATACCGCAATTATAATTTTTATTTAGTCATTATTTTTTTTTTGTTTTAAAAAGTTGCTAAAAATTTACTTTCTGTAATAAGTAATAACTTTAAAAAAATATATATTTTTTTTGCAGCACCTTTACAAATTAGTAAAAAATCATCCCAAACTATTTAATCTCAAAATATCACATTGCTCTAATATAATTCATCGACTATATAAAATTGATCAAAATAATTTATCATGTTGTAATTATAATATAAAATTGATTTTAATTTAGTTTCTCGTTTTGCCAAATTTATCCTAATTTAGTTTCTTGGATTTATTGTTCAGAGTGATGGTGAAATAGATGGGGATATTATTAGCAGAATTCAAGTTGGATGGTTGAAGTGGAGAAATGCATCGGGCTTGTTATGTGATAGAAATGTACCCCTCAAACTTAAGGGAAAATTCTATAAGATGGTAGTGAAGCCTGCAATGCTTTATGGTGCTGAATGTTGGCCATTAAAAAGAGAAGCATAATACTAAGTTAAGTGTGACAAAGATGAAAAAAAAAAGTGTGGCAGAGATGAGGATGCTTAGGTGGATGAGTGGCTTTACCCTTAGAGATACGATACGAAATGAGCATATACGTGAAAAGGTTGCAGTAGATCCAGTAGAAGATAAGATTAGAGAGAGTCGCCTTAGATGGTTTGGTCACATAAAACGCCGGACTTCCGATGACCCGGTTAGGAGAGTAGAGATATTAGATTTGACTTATGTTAAGTAAGGTAGGGGTAGACCTAAAAAGACTTGGTTAGAAAATATTAGGAATGACCTTTCTTTATTAGATTTAATCGAGAATTTGACTTTTAATAGGACACAATGGAGAAAAAAGATTCATGTAGCCGACCCCACGTAGTGGGTTAAATGCTTGATGTTGTTGTTGTATGTTTCATTTGTAATAATTTTTTTACTGCTTTCTAAACGACTTTTTAATACTAAAATTTTCATTTAGAAAATTTTTTGTACAAAAAAGCTACTTTAGAAATCATTAAGAAAGTTGTCCCAAATTAAGCCTTAGGTTTCATTTGGGATAACTTTTTTAGTGCTTTTTGAAGTAGCTTTATAGTACAAAAAATTTTTTGTACTAAAACTCTATTTTATAGTATAGTAAGAAAGTTGTCCAAAATGAAACCTTAGCCTTAAAGAGAACATTTTGTTAAAATTTTCAAAAATATAAAGTTTTAATTATGTTGAGTTCATTAATTATTAAGTCAAATAAAAGTTGAATAAAAACAAATTAATGGTAACTACAACATAATTTTTTTTTTTATAATGAACACAGAAAGCTTAGCAAAAAACATATGCAGCTTTTATAAAATGATATATTGCATGTTTCTTATAGTTTAAAATATATTATTCATAAATAGAAAATTTTCAATGGATGTTAATAATAAAATATGTGAAAACAAAATATATTTCGAATAAAATTTTGTTTAAATATTATTTTTGGGAGATGAAAGGGGCAATCATGGCTTAGCTAAGGGGTTGTTTGGCATCATTTTTTTTATTTTTATTTTTTCAAAAATATATCTTATATGTATATTTAGTTATTTTTATTTTTATTTTGAAAACAAATCAATTAAATTTTTAAATATTGAAAAAATAATTTAAAAATTCAAATAAAAAGCATGAAGGGAGATTATATGTAGGAAAGAATAAGAAGAAGAAAAAGATTGCCCATCTCTTGCATCTTCTCAAATAAAATGTCTTTTATATTTCTAATGATAAGAATATCCCTCTTTCAGTATGGAAAGCTTATAGCCCGTATTTGATAAGCGATATTATTCTTATCGATAACATAGTGAATGAAAGTCAACTTAATTGAATCACTATAAATTTTCTTGTGTCATATTTTTATCTTAGATTCGTCTCATCTCCACATTGAGTAAACAATGTGGGTGGTGCATTCCCATCTCTCTCTCTCTCTCTCCACAAATCATTGACACGAGTGCTCCTTGTTGTCAATGCTCGACGGGTTTTAACCGTCAATACTAATGATTGTGATGAATGCTCATACATAATGCATATGTTTTTACTAATCAGAACACAAGCTATGTTGTTTATTATTACTCATATTTTATAACAGGGGCGGATCCAGCTTCTTTTTTTAGGGTGGCCAAAAAAAAAAAAAAAATTTGGAGGGGGGGGGGAAAAAATGTTTAGG